ATATAATATTAAAAATTATATGAAAAATGTTATTGAACAAAAGTAAAACACAAAAATTAACTACCTTTGTGCGGGCCATTAAAAATTGCTTTGTGGGCCGCATGCGGCCCGCGGGCCGCGGGTTGCCGACCCCTGGTCTAGCGCACAGATGTGGTAAGTGACATTTTTTGTGAAAATGAGTTAAGTACTCTATAAAATTCTCCATTTAATTTTTAATGTAATGTATAAATGTTGTATGTGTATGTTTAATATTTCATCCAATAGATGGCATTGTTGTTTGAAGTAAGTACTGTGGTTTAAAAACGTACCGTGTTCAAATGTGGTATACTCACTTACAACCAAAGTATTTTAACAGTGAAATTATATTGGTAGCACAAATGTTGCAAGTGCTCACTTACCACATTTCTATTAATATTTAACAACATGATTTCTGTTATCAATATTCAATCATTATAGTTATTTATAAATAATATTATTATTATAGTTATATTTTTTAATATAATTCACTATACATAATATTAATATGATAACTCATTGTAAATAATATTATAATATTACTTAACAAATGTAAGCATTATAATTTATTACATAGAAATGAGTAGAGCACGCAAGTTAGTGAATCTTGCTACTGCAAACCAAATAGCAGCAAGTGAACAAATTGGTGAAGACAATGGTAAGTTTTCATATTGAAAGTACTTAAAATAATTAAGAAATACATTGAAATAATAAAATACTTTTATAATTCTATAGATGTAGCGTTGGATACATTATCTACTTCAGATTATAATATAGATTCTGAAGATTCTTATGCACCACCTGAATTATTCAGTGACAGTTCAAGTACTACTAATTCAGACACTCTTAATTCAAGATCAGTAACTGGTAAGTTATAATTTTACTACATTAACTTGATAAACTATTTTCAGTGTTAGAACCAAAATTAAATGTATCATAAATTTTAATTTATTATTATTATTATTTTTTTTTTGCTTTAATACTATTTAGTATTACAGCCAATGCTAGCTTATGATGAAAATATTTATGATGCAAAAGAAGGGGACAATGAATGTGCAACAAACGGTAAATGTTAAAAACAAAATATAATTTATACATTTTGTTAATGAAGTTTAGTTATCTTCATTATTTATTAATTTTAATCATAACAAAACATTCATGCTTAATTAATACAATTTAAGATAATGACCAAACTGAAGTTCAAAGGAAGAAAAGAAGGAGAAAGAAAGCAAATACTAATCTGAGGAAGAGAAGTGAAACTAAACAAAAAAGATTATCTGGACAAGAATATATTAACCGAAAAGGCAGACATTATAAAAAAAAAGAACCAAAACCAGTTTCTTGTGTCAAATGCAGGTAAAAGTATAACTAATTATTATTATGTTCTTTATCTAATAATATGTAATTTATAATTGTAACATTGTTTAAATTTATAAAATATGTTTAATTAGGTACAAATGTGATGTCCACTTCCCATATCATATTCGTGAGATTCGTTGCCAAGAATATTGGCTGCTTGCAGATTATGACAAACAAAAAATGTATTTGTCGGGTCTTATAGAAAATGGTGATGTAATGCGTAGAAAAATCCACACTAACAAACCAAAAAAAGTTTCAAGAAGGTATTCATTAATTAATGAAGAAGGAATTAAAACGAGGGTATGTTTGAAATTCTTTTGTGCAACATTTTCTATAAGCCATAGAGTAGTTGAAACCTGTATGGAAAGCATTGGGTCAAATGGTTATTTATTGGCGAAGACAGAAGAAAATATCATAAGCCTTCAAATCATACCTCCCAAGAGGATTTAAATATAGTTAAAAATCACATTAGTAGTTTTCCAAAGGTTGAATCACACTACTGTAGACGTGATTCATCTAAATTATACTTATCATCTGATTTAAACTTGGCAACCCTATACCGTTTGTATAAAGAACAAATATATGAAAAAAATATGGTTGCTGTATCTTTCTATATCTATCAAAAAGTCTTTCATTCATTTGAACCGAGATTAGGATTTTTTTTACCAAAAAAGGACCAGTGTTTTCATTGCAATGCATATTATGGAGCTGCTGATAACCAAAGTTTAGAAAAAGATTGGACTGAACACAAAAAAAGAGAAAAAGAGGCTATGGAAATGAAGTCTGCTGATAAACAAAAGGCAGTTATAGATGGTGGGAATACATTCAGATCTATAACGTTTGATTTGCAGGCTATTTTATCTCTTCCGTTTGCTGGTGATAATCAGTTATACTACAAACGTAAGCTAAATGTATATAATTTTATAATATTCGATGGACATAATAAGGATGGTTATTGTTTTGTCTGGGATGAGTGCAATGGAAAAAAAGGAAGCTCAGAAATAGCAACATGCCTTTTAAAATATATAACTCAATTGCCTGAAACTGTTAGCCATGTTTCAACATTTTCAGTCACATGTGGTGGGCAAAATCGAAATAAAAATATTATGGCCGCTATGTTGTATGCAGTAAATACTATTGAAAACATTAAGATAATCGATTTAAAGTTTATGGAATCTGGACACTCATACCTAGAAGCAGACTCAATGCACGCAACCATAGAAAAAGCTAGAAGGCACAAAAAAATTTATAATATCAGAGAATGGGCTTTATTATTTTCGTGTGCAAGAATACATCCAAATCCATATAAAGTGATAACTTTAAATCACAATGATTTTTATGATTTAGAAAAATTAGTAAATTTAATGGTACATAATACAACTGTAAATATGAAAAAGAAAAAGTTAACTGGCTAAAAATTAAATGGATGAGGTTTGATAAAAGTAAACCTAATATTATGCAGTATAAATATGGATTACAAGACACAGAATTCAAAAGATTGGATATTTCTAAAAAAAAAACTGCAGGTAGAAAAAAAGATTGGAGTTCTGATTGTTTATTATGTGTTAAGTACCCTGACAAGTTACCTATAAGTGAAGATAAGAAAAAAGATTTAAACACTTTACTAGAACTTAAAATAATTCCATCTGATTATAAAAGTTTCTACGATGAACTACCAACAGCCAAAAGATTACATCGTCCAATAGAATCAGATGATGAATAAAGTTTTTGTAAAGTTATACCAGAAATGTTTTTTTGTTAATTCTTTGTTAGTTTAGAAATATTTCAAGTACCAATAGGTATTTGATAAATTTTTATTCTGTTTTTTTTATGAATATTTTTTTTTTATACTTGATTACTGAGAAGGTCCTCAGTATGTATAATTTTAAAAGTTTTTGTTTAACATTTTTTTAATTCTTTATTAGTAGTTACCTACAGCAATATTTCAAGTATCAGTATTTGATTATTTTTTATTTTGTTTATATTTATGAATATTTTTTTTTATATTCTGATTAATGAGAAGGTCCTCAGTGTAAATAATGTTAAAGTTTTTGTTTAACATTTATTTAATTATATTAATAATAAGTTTGATTGCGTCAAACATGTCGGGAAAATATTCAGGGCTGCAAGCACGAATTAAACAACTCTCTCCTAAAGCAGAATATGTTCCCTGTGCTGCTCATTCCCTAAACTTGGTTGGTATTTCAGCAGTTGAGTCTTGTTTAGAAGCTGTAAATTATTTTGGAGTGGTACAATCGCTTTATGTTTTTTTTTCTTCATCTCCTCGCAGATGGGATTTATTAAATGATCAGTTAAAATGTAATAAAACTCCATTAACATTGAAATCAACATCCAACACTCGTTGGTCAGCTGACGCTAATGCAGTTAAAGCTCTACGGTTGGGATATAACGAAATATTGACTGCACTATCAAACATTTATAGTGATGATAATCAAAATTTAACAACGCAATATGAAGCCAAAACACTTTACGCAAAGCTTAAACAAAAGGAAACTGGTATCATGACCAGTTCCGCTTGACAAACGAAATAAGACAATAAAGTTACTTTATACTTGTAAATAGGTAATCATATTCACATTACACAAATGAAATATTTGGAATGATAACTGATAAGTGATAACACAATATTTCTATACAAGCAGGCGGCAGCTGCAGCTGCAAAATGTTGCAAATGTTTACTAGTTTTTGGTAAGTGGTTTTTATTGTTTATAGACATTATTACCATTGATAATATCATTGAGTATTATTAGTATTATCACTGACCAATAACTCATCGACTGATATAACTATCGACGGCTTATTACTTATTAGTGATTAGTGTAAACCGTATGAATACTACGCATGCTGCGGCCTCCTTAAATAGGTTATAGTTACTACTTACTAAATCTTATTAAAAATATCTTTTATTTATGGTAGCAAAGTATAGAATAGGAAGGCCGAAGGGGCCCTTCAAATTTGGGGGCCCTGTGCTAGTGCACCGCCTGCACATGCGTAAATCAGGGCCTGATTTAATACAATTAACTCGTACAAGAATACAATTTTATAAGCACAAGATGGTGTGAGTGGTGTTACGACCTGCCTCTGAGCGTCTCGAATATCCCTAACCGTCTGCTGAGCTCTTGCCCGGTCTCCCTTATATATGGTTAACCATCCAGAGTGGTGACTGGGGAGGTGGCGACTTCCGATGACCTAAAGGAGCTCTCTAATTTATATGTGTTATTCAGTTGGGTGCCTTTCCTGCGATTTCATCAATTCCAAGAAATCCAAGACGTGTGATCAAGTCTTAATTGTTTTATTAAATAACACGATATGCAGGTGTTCGCCCTAGCCGTTCGATACTATATTCCGTTCCAGGGGCGTACCCAAGGGGGGGGGGTCGTGGGGTTTGAACCCCCCATGACCTCACTAACCGATGCACTCTTGTGCGTTCTTGCGTATACATAATATAACTCACAGGAGCAATTTTCTAAAAAAAATTTTTAAGTGGGGAAAAAATAAACAAATATATTTATTTTCAATTTTATATCAACATGCATTATACAACGATTACAAGCATTATCTGTTAAGAACTGTATTATGATAACCAGATAACATTTAAATCAAACATGTTCACCGTTAGTGATTACTGGTTAGTATTCTCTTATCAGTACTATCTAGTAAAGTGGTTATCGTATATTGTGTGTTACTGTCGTTAGTCGTTACTGATTATCATTTCAAAATTGAAACTTTATGTGCGGACTCGAGTTTTAGACTTTTTGTTACAATAATTAATAAAGATGTCACAAAACAATAAAAATAAAATAACAACATTTTTTACTAGTGTGCCTGGAAGTTCTAAGTACATTGAACCCTCCAATAATCTTAAAAGAAAACATGAACACGTTAATCAATCGGAAAATGAAACAATCCAAAATAATGTAAGTACCTATAAACTAGACACACCTATGTAAATTTATTAATACACTGCGAATGCTGCATCTATGCATGTTATTTATTTAAGTTGGAATGTGCTGTAAATGTAGTGCCATCAGTGCCGAAAAATGATATCGGATTATTTATTAGTAGAAGCTTATCAGATGTTGAAAAACATATAGTGAGTATATACTATGATACATCATGATTTTATATTTTCTAATTAGGTAGGTATTATTTTAACTATATTAACATTTTAGGTGTTGACAAACTTATGGTCACCACCATTGAATTACTTATATCCATTACTTGAACAACATACCAAAAGAAAAATCAAATTTCAACATCATTGGTTAGGGAAATTTAATTGGTTATGCTATTCTGAGAAATTGCAAGGTGCATTTTGCAAATATTGTGCAGTTTTTGCTAGAAGTGGTGGTGTTGGAAATCAGACTTTGAGCAGCCTTGTAACAACTGCTTGCCAAAATTGGAAAAACGCTTTAAAAGTAGTTGAAAAGCTGTTTGCTTATTAGTTATTTAGTCATTTTTAACAACTTTTTTCATTATGAATGTTGTAAATATAATAATAATTTGCAGGTATTTGAAAATCACAGCAACAATGACTATCATAAAACTTCTGTATTAAAAGGTGAAAACTTCATACAATTATTTTCATCTAACAAACCAAACATTGTTGAGATTTTAGATAGTGAAATGTATACAAATTTTGTTTTAATTAATATATGCACTTACAGACTTATGCACAATGCACATGCAACTTGATACTTAGAATGAAACAAAAAAAACAAAACAGATTGAACCTTATTCCTATCATTGAATGTATCATATTATGCGGAAGACAGGAACTTGCCCTACGTGGCCATAGGGACTCTGGTCCAATCAATGTAGGTGAAGCTGAACCATATATTAACGAAGGCAATTTCCGTGCAATTCTTAAATATAAGGCAAAAGATATGGTTGATTTTAAAAATTTTTTAGAGTGTGAAAGTCGTTACAAATACACTAGTCCAAATATCCAAAATGAAGTTATTTCTTCTTGTGGTGATCTAATATTAGATAAAATTGTAAAAGAAGTTACTGTAGCCAAATGTTTTTCCGTATTAGTGGACGAGACAACTGATGTTTCAGTCAAAGAACAATTGACATTATGTATACGATATGTGGTAGGCTCTGGAAAAGATGTATGTTTAAGTGAAAAATTTTTAAAGTACATTGAAATTAATAGCTTCACTGGAAAAGATATTGGATCTACTATTATAAATGGTAATTATTGCACAATTTGATAATTTTGATATAGAAAAAAATTATATTTTTTCTTAATGATTTTATTACATAGGTTTAAATTCATGCGGTATTGACTGCAACAATATGTATGGTCAAGGTTACGATGGCACTGCAAATATGGCTGGGCGCTTTAAAGGAACCCAAACTGTTGTAAGGGAAAGTTATCCTAAGGCCTTATATGTACACTGTGCGGCACATTCGTTAAATTTAGCTGTGTCTGTTGCTTGTGGTATTCAGGCGATAAGAAATTGTTTGGGTGTGCTTGAAAAAATGTACTGTTTTTTTAACACACCCAAACGTAAAAATGTCCTGTTAAATTTTATAAATGAATGTAGTTTAGACACAAAATCAAAATCGCTCAAACATCTGTGTGCCACAAGATGGGTAGAACGGTACATAGCGGTTAATGATTTCGTAGAATTATTTCCTTTTGTTGTTGTTGCGTTAGAACATATTATATCAGAATGGAATGATACAACATCAACTGATGCTAAAATGTTACATAAAGCTATGGACTCAGAGTTTATAATTTCTCTCCAAGTTATTAAAGTAAATATGAGGAACCCTTTTTTTTTTATAAAAAATCATTTTTAATAAAAATTCTGTTTGATTTATTAGTTATTGTTTTCATATGGTTTACCTTTATGTAAACTCTTACAAAAAGTGGATATTGACCTGAAAGAAGCAGTAGATCTTGCTGAAGCCAGCATTACTACTTTGCAAAATGTATGTGAAAATATAGGTGAAGAGTTCAAAAAGTTATTTAGAGAAGCTGAGGTAAAGATCAAAAACAAATGTGTTACTTATTAACTATTACATGCACTTGTTATTTTAGAAAATGGCCGATGTATTAGATATCAGCATATCGATGAAACGTTTGAATAAACGATGTATAAATCGTGCCAATCCTGATATCAATAATCCTGAAGAATATTATCGTGTAACGATAGCTATACCGTACATTGACTCGTTTGTTCAACAACTAAATGAGAGATTTTTGTGTCATAAAAATATATTTAAAGGTTAGTTATTTAATTTTCATTTATAACATACAATTTAATTAATATTCGTTTTATAGGATTTCATAGTTTGTTTACTGGTTCATATTCTGATGACTTTGGAGAAATCATACAGTTTTATCTTGATACTAATGAACAAACTGTTTTATCAGAACTACATTTGTGGCGTGCTATATTAAAAAAAAATGAAGAAGATCCAAAAAATAGTTTGGAAGCATTGAGGCTGTGCAAGCAGGAGTTATTTCCAAATATTCATCGTTTGCTGCTTATCTTATGTACTCTACCAGTATCGACAGCAACACCAGAGCGTACATTCTCATGTTTAAAAAGGTTAAAAAGTTATCAGCGTAGCACAATGACAGAGGTATTTCTTCCCATATTTATTTTAAGATTAAAGGACAGCTTGTTATAATTTAAAAATATTTCTTCTTTCAGACTCGTCTGAATGATTTGACGATGTTGGCAGTACACAAAGAAGTGTCACTTACCGCCGACGAAGTTATAAATGAATTGGCTAAAAAACCAAGAAAACTTAATTTTGTTCTTTAAATAAACATTTTTCATTTTTGAAATTTATTTTCTGTAGAGTACATTACCATGTTTATATTTAATATTTTTAAAAAGGAGGTGACAAAGTCCCCGTAATAAAAAACAAAATGTTCACCCCCCCCCCCCCATTGAACATTCCTGAGTACGCCCCTGTTCCGTTCCATTTAAGAGCGCACCGCGTTGGCGCATCCAAATGAATCGTCGAGCGACGTCCGGACCCCCCTGGACGGGTCTATTCGCTATGTGATTGGTCGCCGTAGTCGGCTATGATCGGCGTCGTCGACGATGTTGCCGCCGTCGGCTACGCCGCCGTGCATACAGGGAATTATAGGAACAATGCGCTATCACATATTACAATGCACTACCGCGTATTATATTGGGCTACCGCGTATTACATAGTAGAATAATAGACCCCTTTTTTTTGTTTTATTTATTTTTTACTACCGATGCTACTGCACTTTTTTCTTATTTGTGTACGTTTTATTATTTATTTTTATATGCACCTTGTTAATATATAATCTTTTAATTTTTTGTGTAAATAGGATAGGGTAGATTATAATGAACAACATTTAATAGGACACATTTTGTTTTGTATTCTTACACATTACCAAAATTACACATAGTCAGTCTTTAAACATTGTCAAATTATTTATAAAAAATAAAATATAAATATAAAATAATAAAATATAATTAAAATTACTCATCATTACTAAAGAATTCAGACTCCGAAGATGTATCGCCAACCGTCATTGTTAAACTCTGTGTTTCTGCAGACAACACGTCGTCTATAATGAAATCAATTGTTTACGCATACTCTTATTATGTTCTTAAATTTATTTTATATTCTTATATTATTGTTTTCATTGCGTGACAAATTTATTATCTTATTATTGTATGCGCTGTGCGCGATAAGTGCAGGTGTTTGTATTTTCCACGCATGATTATCTAAATTGAGGGGCCTCAATGCAAAACGTACTATTTCCATTTTTAAGAAA